CCGCCGAGTCAGTGCCGAGTGAGGGGCCGTCGGCCCGCAGCCTCGCCGCCCCGGGCCGGCCCCCTTCTTCTGCGAATTCGAGCCGCCCGCTTCGCTCCCGCTCCCACCATGTCTGGCGGCGCCGCCGACCAGCAGAGCAGCGCGCCGGGCTCCCTGTTCCTCTCGCCGCCGGCGCCTCCCCTCAAGAATGGCTCCAGTTCGGACTCCTCGGTGGGAGAGAAACTGGGCGCCGCGGCGGCCGACGCCGGAGCCGGCAGGACGGAGGAGTACCGGCGTCGCCGCCACACCATGGACAAGGACAGCCGGGGGGCGGCCGCGACCACCACCACCGAGCACCGCTTCTTCCGCCGCAGCGTTATCTGCGACTCCAACGCCACGGCGCTGGAGCTGCCCGGCCTCCCGCTCCCGCTGCCCCAGACGAGCGCGGCCGCGGTGGTCCCGCAGCGGAGCCCCCCGGAGCCCCAGCGCGAGGAGACCCTGATCCCCGCTGCCGCCCATGTGGCCCAGCAGCCGCCCGCCGCCGCCCCCGCCCCCGCCCCCGGGGAGCCGGTCGCCGCGGGCCCAGCCGCCGCCTCGGCCCCGTGCAGCGCCGGCAGAGACCGCCAGGTTGCCCAGCCCGGCCACGCGGGGACCAAAGAGGAGCCCCCGTCGTCGAGAAGTGGCAGCGGCGGCGGCAGCGCCAAGGAATCCCAGGAGGAACGGAGCCAGCAGCAGGATGACATCGAAGAGCTGGAGACCAAGGCCGTGGGAATGTCCAATGATGGCCGCTTTCTCAAGTTTGACATCGAGATCGGCAGGGGCTCCTTTAAGACGGTCTACAAAGGTCTGGACACCGAAACCACCGTGGAGGTCGCCTGGTGTGAACTGCAGGTATGCCCCACCTACTTCTTTATTTCTCGGTGGTTTGCATCCCCGAGTTGGCTCGGTTCGGCCAGTTTGCCGAGTTCGCCCTTTGCATGTCTTTCTCTGATTGTTTGCTCCGAAATGGGGGGAGCCCAGCTTTTGGAAGAGAAGCCAGAATTTGGGGCATGCACCTAGGTGTTTGGATAGGATAGGAGTTAGTATTGGTAGCCAAAGAGATTTGCTCCTAGGGAGGAGTGATGAAAGTCATCCTGATACAAACGCATTGCCTATTCGTCATTGTTTTACTCGTCTAGCAGGAAACGGAATTAGTGGGGAAGTTTTTGAGTTAGGAAAGTACAGTCTTCTTGCCTTGTGCTCCTCAGGGGGTCTGCAGTGATGAGCTGTTGGTGTGTTAGATGCGTGTTTCCGTTCCTGAGATCAGGCTGTCCTTTTAAATTAAGAACGACTTTGTTTCTGACTGACTTTCCTTTGGATATATCTTAGTTGGTGATCACACAGGCATTTAATAAACTATAAGAAAGGCTTCCTTCTCTGGATAAATAATTTGGGACTAGAAAGTTATAGTAAGTGGTTGATACAGTTTCACCTAAGGGTGCATAAACCTTATGATAGCTAGCAGTGATCTGACGTTGTTAATTAAAACTAGTATGTCTTCAGCCCATTCACTATACTGTGGGTAGTACAGAAGCTTATGTAAAAGTGTATATGTGCTTTGAGAGTCGTAATGTCATTATCGTTGTTTTAACTTTGTTGTAAAAAGTTTTTAAGCCAAACTTTCCCAGGAGTACAAAGGAATCACAAAGCTTCCTTTTTCACCTCTCTGGGAGGTTTTCCTGGTGTAAATGATATGATTTTCATGGTGTGTCGTCCTGGTTGACAAGGATATTCTAGGTTTAAGTAGCTGGGTTTGGGCTACTTGTTGCTTGACCTGTAGCAGCTTGATTGAATGTTGTCCTCACCTGGAAGTGAACATACATAGGTTATTGGAAGAAGCAGAGTTGAACTGAATGAAAAAGCCACTTACATTATACATGAAAAATGCCTGTATCCATATTCTTCTTGCCGAGAAAATGGACCAAGCTGAATGAGGATATGAAAGTACCTGAGTGATCTAGGAATTTATCTATTATCCATGAACTAATATGTTAACACTTAACCCTTTGAATGTCACCTTCCAAATGACCAAGGCCATATCAAGTGTGAAGGGAAATTAACATGTGGAAGGAAGTAGACTTCAAAACTGACAGGTTTTTTGGGAATGTAATTTCTTAAGTTTTATAGTTAGTGATATAGAACTTCTAAGGCACTGTGAAATAAAAGCTACTCAATTTTATAGTGTTTCAGAGTTGGGAAGGTGGCAGACCTTTTTTTAAAAAAATTGTGAAACTATAACTTTATTCTGGTTGGTCAGCCATACTCAAAAACTTAGGTCTGATTTCTTGTGGTTTACAGGCAGACACCTGTTTCTTTTTTGTACCTCAGGTGCTTATTGCTACTGATCCTGGATTTTATTCTTCTACAGTTTCATATTTGAATAGGTGCTTTTTAACAGTTTTTTTTTTTTTCCTTAATTAGTTACCTTACTCTCTTAAGATTAGACCCAAGTGAATGTTGAGCACCTTATGGTTGTAATGTGTGTGTTTTCCTTTTTTGTCACTTGGAATTTTCTGATAGTTTATTATCCTAAAACTAATGATACAGTGGGGAAAAAAACCTCAGTTTGTCTAATGTCAGAATAAGAATTTTGTCTAAGCTTCTCAGTTTTTCCTAGAACTGATGACTTTTTTGATTTTTGTTCTCTACCTAGGCATGGTCATGGTTAAACAAAAGAATATCTGCTATCCTTACATATAATAATATCGCCATATTATTTTTACATTAGTTCAGGGTTTGGCTGGAGAACCAAATGAATCCTAGTTCATTTGTTTGGCACCCTGGTTTGGAACCTTCCACATATGTCATTTGACCCTACTTTTACAATTTTTCATTTTGGTTTTTAAAATGTGATTATCTTAGCCTCAGGATCCTTTATAGCAGTAGTTGGACAGTGTTTATGATTTTTTGGCCAGAACTTTTGCCTAATAACCTATTCAGTAGGTTAGTGTTTGGGTTTTTGTCTTTGGATCTAAACTGAAGGACAAGCCAAGGGATTACTAAATCACTGGGAAGAAAAGGTAAGCTTTTTTCACTAAATGTATATTTATTAATATGCATATTTTTCTGTAGGAGGACTGGAGAAATATTGTGTTCAGTTGTCGAGTTAAAAATCTTGTGTATTAAAACTGGAAGAAATCTTAGGTTATTCTGCCTAGCTGCCTATTTGATAAATAAAGAACCCGAAGTCATAGAGCAGGTAAATGACTTGCTTGGGTTGATAAAGAACGGAAATTAAACTGGTTGGGATCTAATAATTTGAGAAATGTTAAAGCATTTGTAATACAGTAGATGGTTAATTAGTAAATCTCAAATGAAGCTGTTCTGTTTTGGCGTGGAAGTTACTGTCAGATTTTTGGAGAAATCCTATCCTGTAACCATGGCAAATTCCAGACTTCTGATTTGGGTGTTGATTTTATCACTTCAAATGGAGAAATAAATAGGCTTTTTGGGGTGGAGAATGAGTGAGTGTGGTATACAAGTCAAATTTGTTTCCATCAAGCTTATTTTTAGACTCACAATATGCATAGTTACTTAGTAAAACAAATATTGACTCTTAATAAATAATATCTAGGTAATACTTTGATACCACAGGATTTTAAGAGATAACAGATCTTTTAAGATGAAAATTTCTTTACCTGGCTTTATTAGGTAGGCTGTGCTTTAATTTTACTTCTCTGTTGGCTTGGTCAGAAAATGTTATTGCTGGACTTTGCAGAATTTACGTTGCTTTTTTAGGAAGGGTTCTTCTTTGCTTTTTGTTTTGAAGCAAACATAGCATAGTTTGCTTGAAGAAAACATGGAGATTCAAGAATGGTTGCTTTACTCTAAGCACTTTTCTCCCCATGCTACTTCTAAATACTGAGTTCACTTGATATATTGATGAGATTGTTTCCAGACCTACCTGAAAGGAGAGCTCAAATCATAAATTTTGATTAAGCTCCAAAATACTTATAGTCTACTTTTCTCTGGCCTTTCGCAAGTTAAGACTCATGTCTCATCATGAGTATAGGATATTAATGTTTTATGAAAAGTTGGTCAGTGCTGCAGAAATTGGATGTGGTTCTGTGGTTAAGAAACCATAACATTTCTTTGCTATAGTTCTTAAAATAATTCATTGAACTGTATCTTCCCATTTGAATATTGAGGATTTTTCTTACCTGTATTTTTCAAATTTGTGCCACATTTCTTGTTTTTTAGGAACCTGCAGTAACTCTTAGTTTCAGGAACTGAATTTCAGGGAATAGTCTTTGGAGTTTTTCTTGTTTGTTTTTGAATTCTCCGAGTCACTGATTTTTGGAGTATGGGCAGAATTCAGGTAACTCAAGGGTAGCTGCTGTGCAAATTAAAGAATGATTGATTGGTGACTTGTTCGAAGTAATCCTTTGTCTCTTCTAAACAGGACCGAATAGAATTAAGGACAGGATAATTTTGGGTAGGTAAGATTTAATTTAAAATATATGTAGATTTATTGCCTTAAGAAGTAACTTCGTGGTACAGGAAAAAGAATTACATTTAGGTTGATTTTTTTTTTTTTTTTTAATGATATAGTTAGTTCTTACTTAGTCTTAAGGGCTTAAATGTTTTCCTTTTCTCTTATTTACCTTTAATATCACAGTTGTTTCTAGTGTAAGAACTTGGAAAGAGAGATTTTCTTTTGGTTTTTTTAATTTTTTTTTTTGCGTTACGCGGGCCTCTCACTGTTGTGGCCTCTCCCGTTGCGGAGCACAGGCTCTGGACGCGCAGGCTCAGCGGCCATGGCTCACGGGCCCAGCCACTCCGCGGCATGTGGGATCTTCCCAGACCGGGGCACGAACCCCTGTCCCCTGCATCGGCAGGCGGACTCTCAACCACTGCGCCACGAGGGAAGCCCTTTTGATTTGTTTTTGATGACCATTTTTAAAATATAGATTGATTGATTGATTGATTGATTGATGGCTGCATTGGGTTTTCATTGCTACACACGGGCTTTCTCTGGTTGCAGTGATCGGGGGCTGCTCTTTGTTTTGGTGCAGTGGCTTCTCTTGTTGCAGAGCACGGGCTCTAGGCACGTGGGCTTCAGTAGTTGTGGCTCACAGACTCAGTAGTTGTGGTTCATGGGCTCTAGAGCACCGGCTCAGTAGTTGTGGCTCATGGGCTCTAGAGCACAGGCTCAGTAGTTGTGGCACACGGGCTTAGCTGCTCTGTGGCATGTGGGATCTTCCCAGACCAGGGCTTGAACCCTAGTCCCCTGCATTGGCAGGCAGGTTCTTAACCACTGCGCTACCAGGGATGCCCAAGAGATTGTTTTTGTGTAAAACAAATTGGGAATCTTTTGTTGCCTGGTGACTCAGTTCACTCTTTGACATTTGGATGCTAGTGCAAGATCCTGGTCATTTGAAAGTCATCCTAGTTATTAATTAATCCCTGTGGAAACGTTCATCTAAAACGGGGCTCTCATTTTCAGAAATCATCTTAAACCTGTTATTTGTGTTTTCTGGTAACTTCTAAATTTTTTAGGTAAAGCTGTAAAAACAGCAAGAGTGGTTATGCTCAAATTAAAATTTCTGAAAATGTTCATATACTAGGGAAAAATTCACTATAATTAGTTATCAGGTTTTGCTGTACCAGTTCTTTATATTTACTTATTGTTAGCATCTTGCATTCTGTTTGGTCCTGTGTTTAAAATAAGTCAATCAAGTGTGCAGGAATAGGTGAGACTTAGCATGACCTGAATTTGGAGAAGGCACTATTTTTCTGCAGTGTAAACACAGTGATTAAGAACTTAAAATGCCTGACTTTCAATTCAGATCCTGGCTCAGCTAATGATTGTGTAACCTTGGGTAAACTTCTGTGCTAGTTTCTTATCTGTA